ATGTGTTTCAGCACCGTGAATCACTTTCTCAGCGCAATGTTCTCTCTCTCTCACTTTCTCTCTCTCACTCATTTCTGCTCTGTTGACCAGACAGTAGTGTTCTGGCACAGGAATTGGGCACTAGAGTCCCTCTGACAGTCCTGTGCCTCTATCCTAATAGCAGCTGGTACCTGATCTCTGAAACCCTGAATGCAGCCCAGCCTGTTTCCATGGGGAATTGGTCCTCCCTGGAGACTTCCTGTCACCTCTCTGACAGTGACCATGACCAGTCATGGGACTGAGGAGCTTCACTCACAATGAACTTGGCTTTTGTTCAGTCCTAAGCATTGCCTTCCATGCTGACTACAGCCTCACTCAGACCAACTCATGGAAAGGAGGCAGGAAGAGGTCTTGCAAAAGTTTTGCTCATGGTAATTGCTTACATTATTTACTAATATGTAAAGCCTTTAGAGTTTTATTCTTAATCTGCTTTGGCTAAAAAAAACTTTACAAAAAAGAGCCAAGAATTTTGTCTTCATTGCTCTTCCTGGAAGATTCTTGGCCCTGACTTGGAAGAAGAACTCAAGGTGAGGTACTTGATATTCTACTTYAGCTGAGACCTAATTTAACAACCATGCAACATCCACTGGATTCCTTCAGTGATGCAAGACTGTCTTCTCTCAGCATTCAAAAGGGTAAATGAGGGCTGAAAGAAATTTTTTGAGTGGAAAACATTTGTAGTCCCTGAGGAAAAAAAACGCAAACTTCTAAGTGAAAGATGATCACCCTCTGATCACCTTTAAAGAGGCTTGAGATGAGCTTATGCAGAAAAGAAAAAAGTCACCAACAGGTAATTTTTACCAGCAATGAACATTTAATTGCATTGAGCTATGTCTCCCCTGTTTGCTAAGCTTCTTTAAGGGGACACTCCATGTGCTCCATTACATAAGGATGTAGTAGACTTTACAGCAAGTAAAATTCCATTTAAATATATATATATAGTTAGATATCTGACTATCAGCTAGATTGCTCTAACTAATTTTTTTTTTTTTTGTTAGAACCTGCAGCAACATTTGGTAAGTGGTGTCTTTTTAATCAGTTTCATCTCATCATTCCCAGGAGTCTCTTTGACACACATGCCTTCAATAATGTTGACATCTGTTTTGAGTCCTCAGAGAAGGCTGCTTATGTAAAGGACAATGGGTCTTGCTGGAACAGCTCAAAGATGGTTCAGTATCATTATTCTCACTTCACCAGTGTGTGAAAATATTAGCTCTGTGGCTTTAGTTTCTCCTGCTCAGGCAAATGGATTGGACAATGGGCAGTGTTCTCCCTTGTTGCTTTACACAGGGGTGGATCTCCACAAGCTGTTCTTGTGCACAACTTCAGTGCTGAGCAATCCTTCATAACCACAGTGAATAAGAGAACTTGTATGGTCTGCCTAGGAAATTTCCACTAAGATATTCTACTCTCATTTTTCTCCTCCTAATGTAGTGCAGAGCTGTGTTGAGTTGACAAAAAAAAAACCCACCAAACCCATGAGCAATCACCATCTGCTTGCCCATTATTTTAAATGTGTTGTGGGCATTTTATTTTTCCTCTCTTTGTCATAGCTTATTAAGCTGGTCTGGCTCATGTCCACACTAAAAAAAGGCTGCAATACCACAAATGAGGAATGGTTTTATTTTTTAGGTAAAAAAAAATGAGATCATTTGGATATTCCTAACAGTATACTATAACAAAATGTGAAAAACCTCCAAAAGCTTTGCATCTCATCCCCATTTAGCATTGTGAAACCCAAGTCTTTATTTAATCATCTAAATAAGAAGTGCTTTCAATCTGTAACTTGATTATCTGCTAAGAGTTGGCAATAGATGTGTTGGAATTTCTTCAAATATTACTTTGAAAGAGATAATAATGGGTTTTGTCCCCAAGTGTCCCAGATGAGTTTCAGTAGCAAGGTATTTTTTCAGAGAATCAATCTCTGTTAATCTATTTGTAAGTGCATTCATTTTAAAATGTTCAGATTTAGTCTGAGATTCCCACAGCATTTTCATGGTGAAACCATATTTCCCTGGTGACCAGGTAAAGAACTGGATGGCCAGGCCTGGAGAGTGGTGGTGAATTGAGTTACATCCGCTGGGGACCACTCACTAGTGGGGCTTCTCAGGGCTCAGTTTTGGGCTGGTCCTCTTCATTAATCACCTGGATGAGATGTCCAGAGAAGGGCAAAGGAGCTGATGAAGGGTCTGGAGCCCAAGCCTGATGAGCAGCAGCTGAGGGASCTGGGGKTGTTCAGCCTGAAGGAAAGGAGGTTCAGGGGAGACCTTATCACTCTACAACTGCCTGAGAGGAGGTTGTACCCCGGTAGGAGTCGGTCTCTTCTCCCATCTAGCAAGTGACAAGGTGAGAAGAAATCATCTCTAGTTGCCCCTAGGAAGATCAAGACTAGGTTCTAGATATTAGGATTTTTTATTTGTCCCTYTGAACAAATTGTAGAACTCTGGAACAGACTGGGACAGGGAATCACCATTCCTGGAAGTGTTCAAAAAGTGTGTGGATATGGCCTTTGAAGACGTGGTTCAATACTTAACATAATGGTAGAGCTACACTGATGACTTGATCTTAAAGGTCTTTTCCTTCTATGATTCTATGGTTTGCCATGCTTGGTCTTCACAAAAAAAGGGGGTTTCTTTGTGGCTGAAGGGAGAATAACAGATGAGCATCTGCTCTGATCTTGATAAGACAGGGAAACCTGAAAAGGTGTCTCCATTTCAGTAATTTAAAAGCCAGCTGCTAGATATCGGGTTCACATATGCAGAAAATTCACACCTTATCCGGCCATGAAACGGATAGTCCTGTGTCAGCCTTGCACCAGCTTCAGGTTGATGACAAAACAAATAAAATAATTTGAAATAATTGTACTTTGACTATTTTCAACATCAGTAAAGCAAGAATTGAAACAGAATATGAAGTATTAATACCTTAATTACATTTCAATACATATTCTCCCTATTTTTGCAAACTGGCCTTTGGGTTTGACTTTTTTGACAGTAGCTCACAAATTGAAAATATATGTGCTATTTTGTGTAAATCTAAAAACAATTTTTTATAACAAGTTTTATAGAACTGAACTATATTTTCAGTCAGACAGTTGTTGTTTGTGATGGTCTAAGCCTCATAGCCCAGCTGAAATGTTCACCACATAGGTTTTAAGTAAGGCCTTTTCTAATTCAAAATACTCTCAGCTGCTGCAGCTTGAGCTTCCCAAATGCACTGCTATATCTGACCCTCTCATACAAMAATAGGTTTTCTGAGAAAAGCAAATCTCAGATGAAAACATTGCTTCCATCTCACAGCACTAGAAGAATTCAGCTTCTCAATACCAAAGGCTCAGGAAAGCATGGATGTTTGACATCACATGTTCCAGCCATTTGTCTTTCTCAGATGTACTTTTACCACCTATCTCAAACTGTCCGTAAAATCACAGGTGACAGGCTGTAGCAGAGTTATCTTCAGCAAGAACATCCCAATGCAGTTCCATTCTTGGAGGAAGTGGGGTGGGGGGGAATGGATTGGTGGTGGTGGGTTCTTCATTTTTTTTTTACTGAAAAGAGGAGGGTCACTTATAGAAGGATTTAAAATCTCAGCTGGAATTTTTTGACTGGGGATGTTTATGATTGACACAAACCTGCTGGGATGCCAATACACAGAGGAGCATTGTGGCAGCATCATTCAGTGGCCCTCACTCAAATCCCATTTTCAAAGAAAGCTTTATGTAGCCTACATCATCCATGGCACTTCATGAAGAAAATGAAATTAAGATATTAAAATGGACTTAATCAGGACTATGGTGAGTATCTTTGGACCCACATTTTCATTTGGAGGTTTAGTATACGCCCCAAGTAGGTAGTCCATGCCGCCACTGCTGTCTGTGAAGAGTGGAAGCTTGCAGAAGGGCAAATCATTGCATCCAAGGATCAGTGTCTGAGAAATAAATCACTAATGCATCTCCATAACTGGAGTGATTTTCCACCAGAAGCATTCAAGATGTGCCTGCGGATTTCTTGTTTTTGTTCTCCTCTGGAGCGGATTTTACCTGACAAAGTGCACATTTAAAATGGGAGAAGGTAGATTGTAGCAACCTAACCACTGGAATTTATCCTTTTTTTTTATTATTTATTTTTCTTTTTTTCTTTATAAGAAAGCAGAAGCTGTTTAAAAAGAATAATTTCTCTCCATTGCAAAATGAAGCCTGTCAAAATCACCTGCTATTTTTCTTCACTCCCTGGGTCTGTCCCCCAACACTTGTCTGATATGATAATTCTGATTCTCTTAAGCTGCCTGTTTCTTGGGGAAACCAGTGAAAAATACTTTCTTGCCCTGTTATCTTACTCAAACTTAGAACTTACCTGGAATATGAAGTACATGGGCAGCCTGCCCTTGAACTCACAGTCTGCAACAGCATTAGCATGTTTTTGTTTTAGCAGTGTCAGGCTCAAAGTCTCAGTAGGTGTTCTGGGATGTAAATAATATGGATTGATCCTCTGTGACAGTCCTGTGGCTACTTCTGCTAGGAAAAAACCCAGCAAAACCAAATGATCATGCAATGGTCCTAAGGAAGGGGAAGCAAAAGATAACAGGTTTTCCTACGAGGTATATGTTAATATCTTTTTCTAACATGACACAACACTTTCATGCTGAATATAAGAACTAATGATTTGTGCCTGAACAAGTAAAATGAGGCTTAGCTGTGTGGAACTTTCCATCCAAAGAGTTTTGTATTTATCACGAATTCTGGATCCTGAGACACATTTTGTGTCATTGCAAATTAGTGTTTTACATTTTTCCTCTGAAGATCAAAACATATTCTCACTAAACCATAGTTTGCTGTCCATGTTTCTTTCAAAGGAGTGTTCTATTCTTCCTAAGGAAAACTATTTCCTAGCAGCAAAACTCATTTAAAATTTGATAATCAGCTGTACACATCAAACCTCATCAATGTTTTTGACAAATGAAAAAATGAGCATATTTATTCAAATAACATCCATGTTGCTCCTGAATTCTAGTACCATTCCAGTTGTATATGAGCAACCATACTTTGATTTCTGGGTGTAACCTGGTAGGAATTTCACAGGAAAGCATTGCAAACAATTTATGAAATCACTGGGGTTTTTATTGGCTGTGATTCCATTTTAAAAGAACATCATACCATTTACCCACATCATGCAGGAAAAATTACCAGGAAAATAACAAATTAAAATCACATTCACAATGTCTCTACTTTAAATCATCCTCAAGTACTGCATGCATCTGAAAGAAAGCTGGGGAGCATTTCTACTAGAAAATGCATGGCTAAGTTTAATTTTGCTCTGTGTGTGTGAAAGAGAAAGAGAGAAAACAGGCAATTTTTTTAATGACAGTACTGAAACATTTTACTAACTCAGTGCATGAAGAAACAGTTATCTTGATAACATATATTCAGAACAGATACAGACAACTCTCAAATACATAAGACATTACATTTAAWTCACAACAGCTAATTTCTAACAATGCTTGTTCTAGCACAAAAAGCTTGGCCAAAAGATGTATTCAGCAGCACTGGTATGGTCTTTCTTGATGAAGAAGAGGGGCTGGGAGGGATCTAAGTCAATGTATGATGTTAGAAACATAGACAGAGGAACTCCAAAGTGATTTAGCGCATGGTCTTATATTTTGTTTTATTCATTTTAAACACAAGAGTAGCATTGATAATCAATATTGCAGTCTGATTTCATATGGCTTTCTCTACATATAAATGTGAGTTCACAAGGTCAATGGCAAACTAAATCATTTACCCTCCAAATGTGAAGGCCCTTTGACTACTTTTTTTTACTAACCAGTAAGGTCTTGGAGCTGTGAGGGAAAATGACTGCAGTGTCTAGCCAACAACCTTTCTGTGTAAATAAAAACTAGTTATAAAACTAAAATACCTCATTTACCTGAGATTGAACAGACCAGTGATGCAAAGAAAACAATGTCATAAAAGACAAAAAGATGTTCAGAATCCAAACAATGAACCATGCTTCTCTTTGGTCTCTTGTTTAAGTGCTTCATCACCTGCTTGAGTGCCAAGGGGAAAAATGTGTGAGACAATGGTTCTGACTTCCATACATGAGCCAAGGTGTCTGCGTCCCTTGCTGCCCGTTCTGAGTGGGAAGGAAAATCAATGGGTGGAAGAGAAGGGAGAGTGCCTTGCTCTCGAGTCTGTTCAGCATGGCTTAGGCACTTTGGGACAGTGGAATGACTTCAGGAGAGGACCGCTACTCATGTAACCTGCCAAAAGTTACGTGAGGCAAAACCAAGCAAAACATATCCAGTACCTGTGGTAGATCTTCTGTCGTGTTTCTTATGGCAAGAAAAGGAAAATGGGAACTACCAGCTCACACCTGGATGAACTCTCTGCTGTCAGTGATGAAGAGCTGCTGCAGGTGTGGTGAGCTGAGATACAAAGGTGATGAGACGGCTGAGCTGGGAAGCTCCCACAATGGAAAAGACTCAGCAAGCACTATTTAATAAACCACCTCCCCTTTCCCTTCTGCTTTGTGAGCCACCAGACTCAGCACAGAGATCCTATGGCACTCTTCAGGAGTCCAATCCAAATGTTCACACAGCTCAGGAGCTCAGCTCAGCTCAGAAGGGCAGTATTTTTAATGCTCTTAGCTCAGAGACAGCAGTACCTACTTAAGAAACTTGATCACAGGCTACACAAGATCCTGACTTAGATCAGTCATTTAATGCCACAGCTTCTGAGGCACAGTTATCTAAAATAGTACTAAACAGTCTTCCTTTCTCTCTCTTCTCCCTTTCTTCTCCAATTTCCTCACCTTCCACAGATGTGTGCACAAACATGCACATCAAGCTGCTAGAGAGACTATGAAAACAATCAGCACTAACATTCTGCAAGGAGGATGCGAGGCAGAAAATTCTGATCTTACATCAGGAACAGATTTTGGCTGGATGAGCAATGGAGTCAGTGAGGGGGTTAGGGAAAGGTCAGCAAGCAAGTGGTAGAGAAAAGCCAGAGTAAGGTGGAATAAGCTTGTCCTCTCATTTGTTTGTTTGCAGAATTCTCCAGCACAAGGCCACGGGGATATATTAATGGATATGTTCATTTTAACACAGGCACATTTCTGCTGGTTCTACTTATGTATTAGAGGATGCAGGCCACAGAGATTAAACAGGGCATTTCAAAAGTATTGATGTTTGAATGCCAGTGATCTGTTTTAGGAGATTTAGCTACCAATGAGTGGCTGAAGCAAAGAGTCAGCCTTTGCCTTGTTGGTGTCAGGGATGTTGGATGCTCTCTCAAGAGCAAATTGAGCTGCTGCCTTCATGACAGAAAGGGAGTTTTCAATTCTTTGAGATTTACTTAAATAGGCTCAAATTACTAGCTGCTGAATTTGCATGGAGTGAGAAGAACACTATTCCTAGAAAAAGGTAAATCGTTCCATAATATACTCAAGCACTGATTAATAAAATGTTCTGGGTCAGTAAAAGTCTCAGGAGGGAGACACTCATCTTTCATGAAATGAAAATTAGTGGGGGAAAATCCCATTGACATTATCCAAGCAAGTAAAACCTGCCTTCTCTTCCCTTTGGCTACCCTTTTGGTAGCCCTTGGCAGCTTGTACTTGAACAAACAAGTCTTGTTCATAGATCCAGCCTGAAACAAGTTGCATCTTTATCAACTGTTTCTGACCTGCAGATCAGTCAAACCTTTTCAGTCTCCACTTTGGATTCAACATAAATTCATGTTTGAAATTATTTGAGAAGAAGTGAGGACTAATACCCGAATAAAAGTTTTGTGAGGCAGGCATTACTATATTTAACTTCTTCCAAATATTTTTTCCCTATTATGACAGAGGCTACTAGAGGATACAGAGCTGTCATGTTCAGTTCCTTACCCATGGTACAGATTTCTTCTGCCTACCTGGAAAGGTGATAAATGTCTTTTAAAATTTCTTATTCAGGAAGATACAGAAGTAAAATGCTTAATTTAGGTACATAAAGAAGTGTCTAAGATTATCATCCTTTTTGTTGCCAGCAGAAAGAGAGCTTTTGCTTTGGCATCTTGTCCATGACCTTAGAAACTTTTGTTGTTCCCAGGATAGGGACAAGCCATGCTAGTTCTGCCAGACAAACCCTGCTTCTCCTGACAAGATTGTAAGACTGAGATGGCAAGATGTTCTCACAGCATCGACTACAGAGACRTAGCCAGATGCAATGTTTCAGGATTTGCTCTTCAGACTACAAGCCAGATACCTGATCATGAGGATCTGTGTTCAAAATAGGTCTATTTATGTATTGAATCTATGGATATGTTAGCAAGTCAACATCTCCCATAGAACATGGATTTTCTTACGCAAATACATGATATCTACAGTGTTTTATTGAGAAGACCTCTATGCCTGTGTCTGCAAAAGGCAACAAAGTTAYTAGTGAAAAAAAAATTCTCCCATCCTGCTAGCATCAAGGGTTACCGCACACTGCTGTAATATTAATTATCTCCAACACAGCACCAGACAAGCATCCTCTCTTCATGCCTTTACCTCAGTTGGTGGAGACTGAAACTTACACTTTACAGGTGTAGAAGCTCATTGGGGCAGAAAATAAGCGACATCCCCAAGGCAATGGGGAGGCAATTTAGCACGATAAATATCATGGATATTTATGGATCTGTCATGACTAATCAGGCCGCCACACACTCCCACACACTGCAGGAAGGGGTGGGCAGGACACAGCCACGACAATATGCTGGAACCCAAATATCCAACCCACAAGCGCTGCTGAGAATGGGATGGTTGAATGTGGCAGAAAGAGGAAGATTAGTTAAACAGAGCAGCAAATGCACTTGGTCATTGGCTTCAGAGGGGTTGGGGAGGTCCTCTACCAGAGCATTATGCTCTCTCCTGTGGTTTCAGCTCTCTGTATGGCAAGTGCCTGACCAATTTGCTCATTCAAGGTAAATGTATGGCTAATTCCCAAAGTAACATGACTCTTGCTTAGATTCTGAGGCATTTAACTTCTACAGCATCTGAGGGCAGATGACTCATTTCTTCCACAGTTCTGAGTGATGTCAGCTGTGTAAGTCATGCATGATTTACTTTCAAAATGATCTTTTATTTATGTCACGAATGGAATTAAAACAGAAAAGCTCTGCTTCCATGGGAGAACTGAGAGGTCCCTTCCAAGAGCAGATGTGCTCAACAAAAAATGGCTTGTGTGACCCAATCAATAGGAATATTATAATAATGACTAATTATTATCAATAATAAAAATAAGAGAATTTTAAAAAATTAAAGAGGCCACTGTTCATACTTAGTGAACACTCCTTCTTGCATTGTATGGAAATGAGATTGTTCCTTTTCTATGCTTGATGTGCAGTTGTCTTATTTAACACACATAGTACTATGGCTTATAATAAAAGTTGTGTAGTCTGCAGCTTTTTAATCTTTACATCCATTCAGAGGCATCTACTGGATGTGACTATGTACAAAAAAAAGGAATGGATGAGTCTTGGGGTGGAGGAAAGGGAAAGAGGCAGTCAGAAGGGAATGGGAAGCAAAAGGACTCCTAGTGAGCAGTAGAGGGCAGAGGTGGGGAGGACTGCGTGATGAATGGCAAGATTGTAAATCCCCATTGGGCAAAAGAGAAATCCTTTGCAGTACTGTTTATGCCCATCTAACAGTCTGCAGCCWTTACTTCTTGAACATGTCTTGCAGGGGCCCTGGTAAGTATTTGATGACTGTGTCTAGGATGCTCTCTTCTTCTTCCTCCTCCTCATCCCCACAGCCAGGAGGGATCGCCTTCTTTGGGCGAGTCAGGCTCCCTTCAGCATTAGCTTCCATTGCAGCCTGGGCCTCCGCTTCCTTTTCTTCCTTCTTCTTTATCCCATACTGCAGGGGAGAGATAACACATTGTTTGAATGATAATATGCGAGATAACACATCTGCTGATGAAGTCGCCCATTGCAGATGGCAGCTCATATTCTGCAGTAAGAACATCACATATTCTCATTTTGCTCTTTTGGATACCAAAAAAATGGATACCAAAAAAAATCCATCCTAACAACCCTCCCCTAAGTAAAGCCCAGTAGATGGACAGCCTTCACAAGACAAGATGGTCGGATGCTCACATCACTCAGAAACASGCACAGGGAGAAACTGGGACTGTGCAGCCATGGGTCTAGCCAAGAGAATGTGTTATCAAACTATAAGGGTGGCATTCTACTGGTGTCAATCCTCCTCTTTGCTGTTAACAAGTCTGATGCTCAAGTCCATCATCCACAATGATTTTGAAATTACACACACGAAGCATTTCATAGTTAAGGATTATAGATGTGGCAAAGCTTCAGGGAAGAAACAGTTAGCAACAAAAGAAAGCAAACAGGTCAGGACAGATAGGACAGCAATGAAGAAAACAGTTTCAGATATTCTAATGTGGGACATATCCTTCATGCATATTCTTTTTGTACAAGTGGGACAGAAAAACCTCTGTGAAAATAAACCTTGAGAAAAACCACTGACTCATCTGTTTGAAGAGAAACACTCTTAAGCATGTGAGTAAAATGGGTACTTGAAATTGGTACTTCCACTAAGAATTAGAGGCACACCACTAAGACATAACATGCATAACCAGAATCTCATTTCATCATTTTATATTCAAGAGGCTAGATTTAAGAGAGGACTAAACATATGTATATACTTCTATTTCTGTGTTTGCACTGTTTCAGAGATTAGRGTGATACACAATAAAATTTAAAAACTCAACTCAAACTGTCACTTACAAATCTAGAGCAACAATTATACCTTTAAGCTGCCCTCTGCATTATCAAGTGGTCAAATGGTTTGGGCTGRATGGTACATTTAAAAGCCATCTAGTCAGAGCGATGAGTAGGAACATTTTCAGCTAGGTCAGATTGCTCAGAGACCTGCTCTGTTTATTTAGACCAATTCAGATTTCCCAGACTGCTTCCACCTTTTCTGATGATAAATGGAGGTTAAACTTTCTTGGTATTGTGATCATGATGCAAACTCAGGAAGTGTCCTGTTTTTCAGTGCTCAGCTGTGCTTCAAAGAGGCCAGCTGTACATTTCAAGGATGCTTGTGTTCCCCAGGTTCACAGCTCCCTGTCTGGCAGAAATATTCTTCTGTTTATCCTTTTTTACCTTTTGAAAAGACATGTTCACGGCTGCTCACTATCAGCTCCTCAGCCACCAGTCACCTCACAAGCACCTGCACAATTGCTTACAATTAATTTTGCATGAATACGCTTGAAAGGAATATTGAAAAGAAAATTAAATGTGATTCAAAAACATCAAAGAATTATGTTGGTACCATGTAYTCAATATTTTCAAGTATCAGTAAAACCGTACTGCTGAATAGACATGAATTAGATGCTATTTTCATTATTTGTTCTTTTCATTTTTTCTACTAAGATTAGTACAAATTGTTAACCAGTTAAAGAAAACGTGTACTGCTGCTTTCATGACTTTCTGATTTCAGAGGGCTGTTGGGTTTGACTTTTCCTCCCAAACATTACTGAGCAAAGGCATTATTTTTGATTCCTTTCTTCATCATCGTTTCTATTTAGCATGACAGCCTGCAAAGTTGAAAACAGGAGCTTTGAAACGCTCTAATTCTCTAAATCAATTCTTTCAAGCCAAAATGTTCATTAAGGACATTTGTTTTATGATTTATATACCTGCTGGGTGCCAGTCACACCTGATTTCATGGTAAATATGTTAAAGGCAAATGATGTCTCCATTCACATGTGATGCAAAGAAATAGTTTCATCAGCTTGTAGTTACAGGGCTGTACACCACCAAAGAGATCCGATACAGAACAAGCTGCAATGCAGGGGGAATGGCATGCAGTGCTAGACTGTGGTCAGTCTCTGAAGCTGTATTACCCCCATTCTGCCCCTGAAGCCACAGGGAGATGTCTCTCGTTAATTCCTGGAGTAAATTACATGCAGATATTTTCTTTTGGCAGCTAGAGGAGAAGAGTTGTGGAGACAACACAAATCATAGTAACCCTGCATGCTTTCAAATTCTCCATCTCAAAACAAGTATCAGCTCAAGATGTGGTGACCCTCTGGCTCACAAACTTGCTGAACAAACATCCAGGCCACAGGAAACAGTGGAACAAAACCAACCAGTTATGAGAATTCAGTATTATCATTTAAATTTGGTGGTATTTTGTCATGCTTTGCATTAATAAAAATGTAAGCTTTCATAAGTGAATCAAATGGCATACTTAGGGTTTGAAATTGTTACAGAGGAAATAAAATTATTGAAAGGGAAGTCTTAATATAAGAAATCTTTTAAAATAATGTTTTCACATGAAATAATTTGGGTGAAGTCAACAAATAATTTTTTAAAATATGACTAAAAATAATTTTTCTGGTCCTCTAGCTTTCCTGGGRATAGGAAATATTGCATTACTTCCAAAAAAATGAAAAATGAGAATAGTTCCATTTTTATTCAAGGTTCAAGGTTCAACCCCACAACATTTGATACCAGAAGTTGTATCATTACCTGCTTGGCCTTCAGTCACATATTCATGTCTTCTACTATATGCAGAATTATGGACCTAACCCAGGAAAATACTGGAACATTTTTAGTATGTAAACCGTCTTGCCACTCCTAGAGTTATTGCTGAGCTGCCACATGAGGATTGTTATCACTGGGTCATGTTGGAGAAAACTGTCATGCTGGAATCCTTAGTCCAAGTTGGAAGAGTAGGGAAAAAATACCCTGGGCCTTGGCTTAACCCACACTCACAGACTGTCAGGAAAAGTCCAGATTAACCTGCTACATCAGATTCCTCCCCACCACCTTGGATCTGAGTTGGAACTGCCTACTTAGAAACAAGTGATTTATCTGAAGAAGTTCAAGAAATAAAAAAGGAGTTTTGTGAGGGTTACAAAGGCAACTCGAAGACTGTATGGTGGGACCAGATAACTCMGGAAACAACTCTTTCACCCAAGGTGCTCTGAGAGCCTGAAGTTAGTCCTCAGTCCAAATATTTCTRCAATATTAAATAATACTGCATATCAGATAACACTAAGCTTTAGTTTCTGGAAAAAGGTTGGCATGAGAATCATACTGGTTACATCTCTCTTCAGCCAATTTTACTTCTCAGTAGTTTTGCATAGCTGCAGGTGGTACTGAAATAATATCTGAATAGCTGTGGCAGATAACAGCCGTCTTTGGAATTACTACTTTATTTACTAGCTAAGGTTTCAAAAGCTTTTAAGAGATTTAAATGTTTATTCCTTATCTTGCTCCATACACAAGTTATGGGAGTCTATCCAAACAGCTCTGTTTGAAACCTTTCATTCACATTCTAAACATCAATGCAAAAAACCAAAACATTCCTCCAGATTTGAAAGCATATTAGAAAAAGGCACTGGGATGTCAATATGACAGCATTTTATCYCAAGAGTTAACTTTACCTGAACAAGTCTTTTTCTTAGAGACCTCAAGTACKGAAAACTCTCACCTCTTCTGTTACTATCCTTGTAGTAGTAACAGAATTGTTAACTATCCTTTTCAATTAAAATATTTCTCCTCATGWCCTACCTGATTCTTTATGAAATGCCTTCCAAAAAAATCTGGAAAACTGAAAATACGAAGCTACAGCAAAAAAATTTGTTTTTCATCTGTCCTTTTGGGCTTTATTTGTGCAAAGTTCTTTTTTCCTCTTTCATTACCAAAGAGAATATCAGCCCAATTTAGATTTTTCCATCATTAATGCATGGAATTTTCTGACAGGAATATAYGAGGGACTGAAATAAATTGAGAGAAATAGGTAGAATTTAGCACCAACCTTTAGTTCCACAGCTGTGAGAATCTAGGGTACAGAAAAAGACTCCCCTTTTATTTCATTTATACAAACTTGTAGTTTTTCTACATGATTTMTTTGCTGTCTCTGGCAGTGAACAGTTTGTCAAGCAACCTTTCACTTTAAGTTTCAGGTCAGCGGCTAAGGAAAGTACCATTGTGACAGACTTTGGTCTGGTTTTGGATATTTTACTAATGCTACAGCATTGGTTACAGATCTTCCTGCAGTAAGAGTRCTGCTGTGTGTTTATATGGCAAGGGAAACAGCATATTTTTCTTCCCCYAAATCTACTCCCCCAAACACCTGAGCTGGGGACATGGCAGAAAGAGAGAAGGGTTTTCTACAGGCGGTGAGGATGCTGAAACCCAGAGCCCTGAGTACATCGTTCTCATCACTGTTTAAAGCACAGAATCTACTTTGATGTAGATCTGGCCCAATAGTKTGTGCTGCATTTTCTTTCACTTCAAATCTGCTGATTTAATTTTGTGTTAAATTTGGATCTTTTTGCTTGTTTGTTTTTGTTGGACTTGCCAATCTTCATTTATCCCAAGCTTGCTAGAGAGGATTAGTCCCCAGAAAACTTATGAGGAAGCCTTTTAAGACATATGAAAGGAGGACACTCTCAAGTTACCCATTTAAGTGCAAGGTCTGCCGTGCACTGTTAGAATTGCACAGACTGTTCCAGGCAGCTCAGACACGCTGCCCCGAGATGATCTCTGTGCTTTGTGAGGAGCAATGAGCAAAAAGTCACAATCTGCCACGTGGGCAACCATGCAAATATCAAGCTGTGACAAGGAATGAAAGGTGTGAGAGAGAATGCTGGGTGTCTTGGTCCATGCCATGCCATGGGAGTGTGTGTGGGGTGTTTGTGGGGGTCTGTGTGGAGTGAGTGTAGATGTGKTTTTTTTCTAGTCCTGCATGCTGCTGCATAGCTCTGCTGACCCTGTCAATGTCTTAGCAGAAGAGGGCTGATTAAWAATGAAAAAGAACAAGGCAACGTCTGGAAACTGCAGTCCTAAATTACATTGTTCAATTGCGTGTGAGCCTAA